AAAATTTTTAATTCTGTATAAATTGACTAAGGAACACCTTATTTGTTACCATGGACATTTATAGGAATTATTTATCAAAAAAAAATAAAAGTTTTTCTGCTCTGAAGAACAATTTTGGTTTTGCGGGTTACTACGTGTTTGCTTTCCAGCGTCGATATGAGTATACTGCACACTAGCATGTCTACAAATGGAAGCAAATTAAAAAATACATGATATATGCTACTATAAATAGCGAACTAAACTTAATTTGTACCTATAGCTTTATTTACCCTTAGTTAAAGTAAATTAATAAATAAAGTTATATAATATTCTTTAACTGTAGTAGTTAGGTATGCGAGCTATGGCAGTTGATGGATTTTAAAATATTATTTTGTTCAAATTAGCTGACGCGTTGATGTCTTTAGAATTACGAAACAATTGATGCTAAACAGATAATATTAAAATATTTTTCCAGATCAAATAAAATATTTACTAGAATATTTTATAATATTTACAACATTTGAGCTCACTGCCTTTGAAGTAAGTTTTTTTAACGTGTACAAAATTATTGTGAAGGAAGAATATTATTGAATTTTATGCTGTATATTATAATTCAACATTATTTTCAAAAAAATATCGCAGCAAATGTACCTAATTGTATGCTCAAAACAGTAGACCTAAGAAATAAAAATTAAAATAACTAAGCAGTCTAACTTATGCGGTATGTCTATGCAATACCTAGTCTAGCCATAAGTTCTGTTAAGCTTCTAGCACGGTATCTTGATATAATTTGGCTGAAGTTTTCACTCCTTTTTCGCAACAATGTAGTTTTGTAACCCTTTGGTAGGAGACGCCCCACCAAACCATGACGTATGCTGGATGATGGCCTCGCTGAACCTTGGGTACTACTTCGGAAGCTTCTTTAGAGAGCTGTGTGCATACACTCGATCATTTTGTTTGTTGTAGTGCTCCTCGATCGTAAAATATTTTTCATCGGTGAAGAGAATGTTTCCGTGTTTTTCGTCCGCGTATCGAAGTTACAGCTGTTTTGATTTTTCGACTCTCTTTTGTTTTAGTGCCTGATTTAAGTCGTGTTTGATAATCCGAGAAAGTGTGGGTGGGATTCTCATTTCTCTGGAAAGGATTTTCTGCTTCCTTATGGGATTTCGACGAATTCTGGCCTTGACTATGCAGTCAACCAGGTCATTAATGCTAATGACCTGGTTTGTTCAAATCATGGTCATCAACAGACATGGTTTCAGGGTACCTTTGGATGGTACGATACACAAACATTCGGCTAATCCCTAGCTTTTTCAATGTATTATAAATGTCGGCTGGCTCCTTACCTACTTTGTACAGTGCAATTACTGCAATCCTATTCTCTTTAGTGCCCCATTCCATTTTCAAAACAAATAATTTCTATACAAAAAACATACAATAATGGCGGGAAAGAAGTCTAATTTTGTATCGTAGAAGCTAATGTGTGAAATTCAAATTTATGTTTTTTAAATGTATTTAAACAGCCAGTAACAGAATTTATAGCTGGACTAGGTAGTTATGAATCCATGTGCATATTTGGATTTCAATTACGCTTGATATATTGACGAATAATGTTAGCTCTACTAACTACTGCTATGAGCTATAACTCATACAAATTAACATTACACATGAGAGCCTCGTCGCATCATAACTTATCGAAAAATGCGTTTCTTTGGAGTCGTATTGATATTTCAAATGGACGAAGTTTTCGGAAAAGAATGAGGCTTTAGGTGTCATATTAATTCGTATGAAACGTAATTGATTGATTTTTAAGGGCAAGAGAAAAATACAATGAAACTCAGAAACAAATAGAGACGAACTAAAGTATGAATAGAAACAAAACATCAAAAACTATTTCTAAATTAGGCTATTCTGATTATTCTTGAAATCGGTGTTGTATTCTATATTATATATTTAATCAAAATTAACAAAGTCTAAATATTTATAAATCTTGTTTGTAGCATTTGATATTATATTATAAACAATACATTTTGTACCTACTCTTAACTGTAATGTCAAATGTCTTAAAATTAATAATATGTTATTAATGTCTATATAACTTATAGAAGTATTCTTAGATTTTTTGCCGTTTTGGTATAATATCATAAATTAATATTGTGTGCCAATTTATGCATTTATATTTACAATCTAGTAATAATAGTAGCAAATGGCTTTCTAAAACATTTATAAAAAAATGTAAGATAATAATTATTGTTGTTATTAGTTGTTTGATAACGCGTTGTGATAAATAAATTTATAAAACGTCCATAAATTTATATTTGAAGTTTCATTTCTATTCGTGTCTCCTAGAAATGATAAGCTTTACTATTCTGTAATAAAAACAACATCGATCACAACATTGTCACGGTTCAGATTTTCCGATATCTTAATATTAAATGAAGATTTCGGCAAATCTAACAATTTAGATAGTCGAAGCTTTGCAGATGATGTATCTCAGTTGCCGCCATAGTAATAAACCAAAAGTGGGGAAATTCCGAAAATAACGAATAACCACCAAATCAGGCACTGTTTTTTTTACCAACTGTTGATAAATTAAATAAATAAAAAACTTTTAATAGACGAAATAAACTTTACATTGGATAGAACATATAGGTAAGGCTTGATTAATGTAATCGGATTTTCGGAATTTCGGGGCTTACCAGAGATACAATCGGAATTTCTCAGTATTCGTGATTACTCCAAAGCACTTAAAATATAGAACAAAATAGATAGATAATGGTACGGAACTCTCAGTGCACGAGTTCGATTCGCAATTGGTAGGTTTTATAATTGTGTATTGTAAAAACCCTGTGCTCAACGTTGCGACCGACGCTGTTGTTTTAAAGAATAATAACGCAGACCCCCCAACGAATAAATATCATTAAATTTGGTAATAATTAAGACCACAGAACCTTTAATCTCACAGCTACTGAAAAAGATAACGAAACTTTTTATAGTTTACTTATAATGTTAAAAACCATTTTTACACATTTTATGTAGATGGCTAAATGAGATCTTGGAGAGGTATAAAATAAATTTACTACACATTATTCTTTTACGTAATTTTATTATTAATCATAATATTGACTAGATCATTGACATTTAGAATTGAATTTTGGATTATATTAGCATCTTATAATTAACATATTTTTACATTTAAAAATATCTTTATTACAAATTCATGAAATGAATATTAGCTTTAATAAACACAGTAATATATTTATTATGCAGTAAGTAACATTATTCTCTCACTATACGTCTTAGACATTAAATAATTTAAAGCCAATAACAATCTTATTACAAAAATATTCACCAAAGTGTTATAGTCTAAAATAGTTATTGATTACGCAATGGCTTTGCATATCTCAACATTTTAGTATTTATTTATCTGTATAATAAATAAATAAAACAAACTAATGCTGTTGTCTTATTAACAGAACTTAAAATTTAAAAAGCTCTCTTCTAAAAAGAATTTAACAGAAAAAAATGATTTCTTTTTTCTCTTAACATTTTATCTCCTAAATGTAGGTATCGATGGTTCCGCAAATAAAAAGATACATACATCTAAAAATATTACAATCATTTTTTTACTTAAGTCTAAATGAGTAACAATAATTGCTCCAGAATTTGTACAATAACTGTTTTTTTTGTATTTCTTGTTTGTAAATTAAAATGTTATAAATATTAGTTAATAACACTAAATCCGATGTTGATATCTTAATCTAATTAGCCAAAGCATTTGTTTCTTAGAAACTTTTTAATATTTTTGGAGGTTACCACCAGAAATATATTTAACAATGAATCTCCTGCAGTCACCCAAAGACATACACCCGGTTCCTGAATTGAGAATTTAATGTTAAGCACGTTTTCAACCATACTTAAGCAATCTTAAACGTCACTTAAACAGGTTTTTGTTTCTGATTTTATTTTTTAATGATCATTTCATTCACTAAACACCAAACTGTTCAATTTGGTTAAACTAGGACTTATTTCCTATGTGAAATGCAAAAAAAAAACTTAAATTATTGGGAATAATCTATAGAGTTCTTGTACTTTTCTTAATTCAGAATCCGGCCGATAATGACACAAAAATCTAATTTAACTAACCTACTAATAGAACCTACGAATTTAACAGAGATAACGCCACCATTAAGCAAGATTGCTAACCATTCTGCTAAAAAACTTGTATGTGGCACTATTATCTATCTATACTAAAATATAATAATGAGGAAAAATTTAATTGTTTGCATGGAGTAGCTTTGGAACCGAGTTCTTCGACTTACGGGAAGCTACATCACAGGAGAGTGACATAGTTATAATATTGGGTAATCTTCGGAAGTATTGTTCCGATTATGAAAATTCTTTTATGTACGGGAAGGTCCATCATATGTAGGTGACATATGTTATGATTGAGTCGCTGTCAAATACTTAGCTAGTTGTTATATATATTTAGGGGCAGTCACACAAAAAGGTGTAAGCAAAATGGAGCATGAGTGCTGTCCAATTCAGACTTATAATATGAGATGATCTTAGATTGAAACAAAAGAGTAAATCTTATAAATAGGCCCAATGATATTCGTACCGGGACAACATGGACAAGGTATTTTAACTCGTGGGCTCCTGGGTAAGTTGTTGTAATACTCGTGCATAATAATAAAATACAGAAATAGAGAACAGCAATAGACTGAAGATGACGCTTATTGGTCACATAAAACTGTATTCAACAATATAATACTTAAATCATTGATGGAGATTGCCTATCTATCAGAGCCGAAGGAGGTGGACGAAACGATTTTTTTTCAACTTAAAAATGGTGACAATATTAATATAATTCATAGGTACGGTGGCGATAGATGGGCCGCCACCGTATATGGTTACTCAAAAACACCAAGAACTTGAGTATAAGTTTGTAACGTATCAGGATCATCTCTGTGGCAGTATTATGTGCCTGTGACGCGTCAGTATATTGGGTAACTAGGTATCTATATAGCGGTCTCTTTTTCATGTGTCGTACACAGCTGCAGTTCATGGTAGGGTGGCGGTCGCTCCTCACTTGACAGTGCCTCCACGTCTATATCCAGGTCACTCTCTGCAACGACCCATAAATATACCACATCAATTCTCTACCTTATTATAATGCCAGTCAGCGACCCGAAAATAGTAAATTTATTTCATTTATAAGTGCTGGATTTTGTTTAAAAACCTTAAATTGTTGAGCTACTTATTATTATTTTGCGCTAAAGTAGTATTAAGTCGATTGAACTGATAAGAAATATTATAAGCCTGTACTATGCGTAGATAATTCAGTTTTAAAAGTCTTATCGAATTTCATTTTTTTTATATCTTTAATTAGTATAAAATATAGTTATATATTGTTCTAAATTCACTGACCTGAGAAGGCTCCCGACTCCGGTCGTTGTAGGGGTGCCAGGATATCTCCATCACTAGCATGGCGCGCGCGCATGTGCATTGGTCCCACAGCTGCTCCTACTGCCGATCTTTCAACCCCCGCTCTGCTTTCCTGTACTCCTCGCACTCCCACTGCCGAGCGCTCTCTCAGTTCAGATACCGATCCGACCTCAGCCAAATAACACGCACCACCTTCGTAACCCACTGTCTCTGAAAAGTGATTGAAGTCATATTGAGTCAACAGTTCATATATTAGGTCATGTCGAATTATATTGAATTAAAATAATTTCTTGTTTATTATATCTTAATTACTGTCTCAAACGCAGAAAAGGATGGGTCATGACCCACTACGCTGGTGCAATGCGGATTGAAGGGTATTAACGACTACAAATACAGCCGGGACCAACGGCTTAACGTACCTTCCGAAGTGCGGAGTAGATCGATTGATCGACCAACACTTGCGAAAGTTGTTTAACAACAACAATCGCAGGCCACAGCGCTTATCTACTATGCCACTGACCTTGTTTTATAATAAGACGTAATATATATGTTTAAGATGTTTATGTCAAATTGATTTTAATATTTACCCACGGACGGCGGTGGGTACGGTCTAGAGAAACTCAATCGAGACTCGATAGTGTGGTGCATAGCACCGGAGCGGTCGATGCCATCATTGACGTCATCCTGTTTGAACTTGGCACACGATACCCAACCCTCTTCTACAGCATCCAGTGGACCTCTCGGACACTCTTTCAATTTAATCGATTCGTTGAATGATTGCTTCGCTTCCTTTAAGTTGGAAAATAGTTTTAGACAAACTTATAACAAGATTAAAGGTATACAAATTCTGTCTAATAATAATATTATTAACAACAACAACAATAAATCTTAAACGCTGAACGATTGAGTTCTTTGACGCAAAAATAGAAAACAGTGCATTACATTACATTTCTGTTGCATTGTAGACTATGGGTCACACCAGCAATGAGTCACACCGGCACATCAAAATATTACTATAAAAGTTGCTGCATTTATTGCGAATACTCGTGCAAATAATAATATAATAATAGTAATAGTTTGTTTCATCGAAATCGGGCCAGGATCACCGAAGTAACAGAGTTGTAAATTTTTATCGCTTTTTTAAATTTCGTTACTACGCGTTACACTACGTCATGTAGCGACACGACAGTCAAGCTCGACTAAATACTCATAGCGGAGTGTTTATGTTATCGATAAATTTGATTTGAAAAGTGGTTTGCATTTTATATTTTAAGTGTTTGTTATTATGTCTGTTCTATAAATCAATTTGGATATTATTCTTACTAAATTAATCGAAGTAGTGATGGAAAAGGGTGTTGTAAAAGGATAGTCAGATTACCTACCAAAAGTCGTAATTTTTATGGTTTCGCGATATTTGTCCGAGAATGGTGATTATGTAGCAGCTGAAATGCGAAGAATAAAATTGAATAATAAGTCATGTCTAACTACTATTTGTGTTACTAGGTATTTCAAATATGACTGTTTCTTTTTGTCGCGTTTCAAATAGAGACAGAAACATACAAACATTTTCCAAGTTGTCAAAGTTCAACATCAAACTTCCAAAAATATTAAATGAGAATAAAGGCAGTTTATTTTATTTCATGTTTAACAAGCAGAGGCGACAAACATTTTCTCAGTTTTATTTTTATTTTTTTTTCCATAAGTTATAGACAAAAAGTTAATTTCGTGCTTTATGACAAACAAAGTGATTGTATTTTTTTAAGTTTCTCATATAATTTTCAGTCATTAATATAAAAACGTGTGTATGAAATAATTAGTCGCACTAAGCATCGTATTTTTGTAAAAATAAGCCTCCGTTAAGATATCCAGTAACCATCAATATGGCCATGGCCATACACACACTAAATACACCTAGACCCAGATAAAGAAAGTTATAATCATCTTCTAGTAACATTAAATAAATTGTATTTACTTTTTGTTCTTTTTCTACGTATCAATAAAATTTTAAGTTTGTTACACCTGGCTCTACAATCAGTGTTATATGTACCAAAAAGTCATCGCCACCGCCTACTCAACCACCCCGTCCTTCGCCGCCCGTTATTCTATTCGCTGCTCATTCAACTAGGTACAGTTTTAGATTAGCTGTCTATTGCTTAAAATAAACACTCGTGCATGTATACATAATGAACACAATACTTACGTCGAAATGATCTTCACAACATGCACGTGACTAGTGGCTGTGAGAGAATCTACTCTTTTTATAACATTCAACCGTTTTTTTCGGATATTTCTATCATGTGGTAGGTTACAGGAAAAACAAAACAATTTAAGCGGTGTTTTTCACTGAAGTAGTTCATTTATATTAAAAACTATTTATTTATAACGAATCAAAGTGTGCTATGTCGCGAAGTGACGTCACACGTTAGCACGGCCGGATTTTGCCACGGAGACCGGACTTTAACGTTTAATATCCCTGTCATTTATGAAGATAGGGAAAAAATAAAAACAAATTCTTTTTTCTCGAGTTACCTTCTTTTTAGTTGTGCTCATATTAAAATCATTGGTGTGACTCAATACAATTGTATTAATATTAAATTATGAATGGACAGAGGAATTATTTCCTTTATGACCATTCATAAAATAAATACATAATTTGTTCGGATCAATTACCTTAGCTTTGTAAATAGATCGGTTCCTCTCCTCAACCAACCTCTCATACTCGGCGAAATCGTGAGATTCTGCCAGCAAGGGATATTCTTCTTTAGTTTCTCCAATGTAGAAATTAGGAGTTTCCGATTCACTCTGAACTTCAGTGGCATCCGTATCTTTAATGTCATCTTTATTAGACTCCTTATATTTTTTACCTTTTGAGGATTTTATGTTCGTGTGGTGTTTTTTGCATTTTTTAGTTTCATCAGATTTTAGACATTCTACCGAAGATGACTCCGGTTCGGCGCAAGGCGCTCGGTCGGGACTAGAAGTTCCATCTGATCTGATAGATTTGCATTCGTTTTGCGGATTGAGAGGGATGTATAGGTCCTTTGTGGATCGCTCCCAGTCACGGCGATGTATGACTTCATCTATGACGCTTGGTGCGGAGTGGTAGCGAGTTTCTTCAGTGGCGGTCGTGTCGTGGTGAGATTTACGACGGCTGCGAATCTCTTCGTGGCTTCTGTGAGCCGACAGTGGGATTTTAGCATGACCTATAAGAAGGATTTTGAATTGAGTATTCTCGAGAAAAAGATAAGGATGAACAGTGAAGTGGTATTGATCTACATTAACGATAGAACCATTTGATAGTACAAAGTTGTAGTTATTCGTTATTGTACATTTTGTCTAAAATCAAGACTTCCTATTAATTTTGCCAAGGCATGCATAAACAGATAGTTAGTTTTTTTCAGACCAGAATATAACAGAAGATAGAAAACCTAACAATGATTACCTGATGTACTGGGCAGATGTAGAGATATAGCACTACTACCCATTCGCCGACCGAAAAAGTCCCCGGGACGATGCGTATGGGAATCTGTAAAAATGATCAATGCGATGAGAAGAATAATGTTAAAATATAATTTCATAAAAACATCTATTGGTAAACGGCGTTTGTAATTTTTTAAAACTACTTGATAAAGATTTTTAATAAAAATATTTGAATGGTAAAGTAATTATTGTAATTATGATAGTTGGAACTTAACCTTAAAATAGAAAAATAAATACACATAATGTTGCTTATAAATTTCACTTCTTTTCTTTATTTTCTTCTTTCTTTCCATGTCTTTTTTATATGATTTATAAACTTTTTTATAAATTGAAAAGCATCTGCCCTTTCTCTTTGATTAGCCTATTGATTTCTTCTCGTTTTTTATTGACCGTAATAAATAATGAGAGTTTGGATTTTAGCTGTCGCAGAATATATTTGGATTTTAAATTTAAAACATAAGATACATTCACTTTCTGTGTTCGGTTACTTGATGAGAAATTCCGATTTGCAGAAAACGCGCGCTTTACATTCACTTTGCGTAGCATGAAAAACTCGAGGAACGGTTTGTCCACACCAAATGCTACTTTTCTCGGATCATAATTGAGATATCGTTTGGGCGTACCCGAGAAAAGTGGCATTTACCAAAATGTTCTCGTGCTGGAAACCTAACACGGAAAACCAATGCGTACGTCCAGGCTACATAGAAACTTTTAGGTTTATACACTTAGTTTGTAGTTAAACACTAAATTCTGAGTAATGGTTATTATTATAAATAAAAATTTAATTAAAAATAATAATACATGACGTGATCATAGACATATACATCACACGATTGATTACGTACCGACATTGGAAGATTTGCGCGTGTGCTTGCGTGAGCTAGATGTGTCTGAAAACAGACAGCTTTTTGAACTTAATTATTACACTCAAACTTTAATAATTTAAAAAGAAAGACATTTTCGGATTGAGCTTAGAGCACAAATTAAAAACATACACCTGCTTAAAATAATACAGAAATACTTGTAAGAAATTGATTTCAAAAATAACACTTTCTTACAAAAGTTTTTTTTTATTATTTGATTTTTATAAAAAATATGTGAAAATCAGCTTATATTACTTTTTTTTTCTTGAAACTAACTGTAATAAAATAGAGTTGGACTTTTAACATGACACAATAAATAGTAAAAATTTTTGATTTTCTAATTTACATCCCAAAAAAGCTCCGTCTTGTCACCATTAGTTGAATTATCAAATCAATTTTAATTTATTCTATAGCAATGCTAATTAACTAATAATTTTTTACTTGCTTAATAAAGCCTTTTGTTTGGTTGAATTTCTAATTAAGTTCGGCAATTTCTAAAATATAATAATTGACTCAATAATCAGTCCTAATCTATTTTGAGCGAATTGTCTAATACTAACCCGAGCTGCGATCGTCGGGCCAGCAGCAGAGCCAGCACAGCAGCAGCAGGGGAGCGCACACCTCCGAGCCTAGTGCTACTCCTGTTTTATCGACACCGGCGCCACTCAACATTGTACACTCTTGGCTCTGTAAAGCACATTAATAATTAATAACACATTATTAAAATGATGTTGAGACGCCCGTACAAAGAGGAAGAAGAATACATTATCATCATCTTCAGCCTATCAGTATATCCACCGTTAGTCGATAGACTTAATCCATGAAAACCATGACACCCCAGATGGGTATACAAGTCCTGCATATAGACAGGACTGTCAGTAATGGAAATTCTTTTATTCAGTCTACGTTGCTAACAAATGTTTGAGAAAGTGAAAAAACTGGGCTAAAGTTAGTCCGCATTTGAATCTGCGGCATAGACCCTGAAAAGAGAAGAATCGATAACCTCTGTCTGGACTCAGTATCAAACAGTTTTTTTTTCATACAGAATAATCAAATTGAAGAACGACTTCAAGAGTGGAAGTCATCTTTCATTGTATTGTAATGAAATTGACTTCCTTTGAAGATAATTTCAATTACTTCAATAGGTATTATTCAAGATATGACTTATCTTATTATAATTAATAGATTACTTACCGCTGGTTATAGTATCCAGGTTGTCATCCCCCCAAGATGGCAGCTGGTCTCTGGTCCTGCGGTTGTTTACTGAGTGGCGACGGCGGGCATACGTAAAGCGTTCTGAAGTTGCGACGCAGCCAACGATAGTAAACATTACGCCCGGGGCATACCGAGTCAAATTCTCTTTGTACCAAGGGCTGAGACATAGCCAGTATCTCAAATCTACTATTTTATATTTTTATAGTATGAGTAATATATGCGAAGTTCTCTAATATTTATTTATTATACATATATTTTTTCTGTTGCAAGAATTTGTGTATAATCAAATCTCAAATAATGGTTGTGTCATGGTTAGGACATGCGTTTTAAGGATCCAACCATAAATAAAGTATTTGTTAATTTGACCAATGGAACAGGATTTTTGAGCGATTAACTCTTTTTGGTGAAGTTTTCAAGGTATATTCAAACGTAGGTACTTTTAAATTTTATGAATTTTCATAAAATTGCAAAATAAATGTTTTTTTTTTTAATGTAAAATAATAAACAAAATGTTTTCGTATAAACTTATAACAAATCACGTGGTTCTCTGATTTCACCAGTCATAAAAGTCAAAGTTTTAGGTCATCCTTTATGATTTGACATTAATCTTCCATTAAATTTGTGTATTTTACATATTTCATACTCTCGCTCCCGGTATGTCCAAGGCCAGATGGCGGCGCCGGAGTGTCGCGGCGTCTCAGCATCGACCCAGGCGCGCGCATCTCGCACGGATTGATCCGTACACTGTCGATTAACAGCTGACTCCGGATAAACACCAAACGTATTATTAATTTCCCGTGACTTTGCCCCACTCGTATGATGTCGCTTTCTCTAGGTGAAGGAATTTTAAAAATCGGTTCAGTTAAATTCGGAACCTATTCAATGCAATTTTTGAATAGGTTCCGTAATTAACTGAACCGATTGTGTTTTAAATGGGTTTTAAAATTTTAATATTTTCATGCATCCCTTAATGAGTGGGTTCAACCCTCCATTGGCTTATATACTTTAACTCGTTTTTTTTTACTTGTAGCGTATAAAACAATCTTGTTAAGAATTATGCATTTAGCACAGATAGTTATCTATAAAGTGCTTTAGGGTAATACCGAAATCAGGGAAATTCCGAAAATGACGAAATACCACCAAATCAGGCATTTTTTATAAACTGTTGATAAAGTTAACAAATAAAGAGACTTTTAAAGTATAAAAAAGTTATAGGAACTTTCGTTATTCTCAATCATTATCGGAATTTCCCCTCTTTTGATTACCCTAAAGCACTACCTTTACTAATGTTATAAAGACGAAAGTTTTGAATGTTGGTTTGCATTGTATAGGCTCCAAAATTGCGGAATTCTTTCACTCACGGGAAGATATCATGCACAAGTGACATAAGCTATAATATACGCGATCAAAGTTGCGGGAAAACAGCTTTCAGCAAATTCGCCAGAGTTTTCAAGATGATGTATAAATATAGTGGAATAGTAGTAGTAGGTCGCAGTTTTGTAAAAAAAAAAGAATTTAAGGTGTGCAAACAAGGCACCATACTAAAATTGGGTTTAAAAAAAATTGGTAACTGTACCCTTGGTTTAGAAAAGCGGTTCTTGTGTCCGAGAATCACTGGTGGCCCCTAGAAACATTCTGTAATGATAACAATCCCAATATTAATATAGCAAACCATCCAACTCTAGGTGGTCTATGAAAAAAGTAGGTAACTAATAATGATTTATCTAAGGTAGACATTATGTAACTAAAACTGTTATTTTACGTTTGGGTTCAAAGGCAAATATGTTGTTTTGACAACTTGAGTTTACTGCCCAATAACAAGATTGCTACTGCATTTACCTACTTTGGGAAAGACCTTGACCTCAAAAGATGTACTTGGGCCATTTCCAATATTATGATTACAAACTAGTCAAATATGTAAAATATATATTAATTTTGTTTGCGGATGTTCACTACTTAAAACCTAGGAATATTTAATAATAGAAGATAATACAAAATTGTTGTAATCTCACGTAGTTTAAGCATTTGTAAACAACGGTACTGAAACAAGTCATATAGTCAATATCAAATTTAGAAACATTGCAGATGGCGACGCCAGATTCTTGTGCTTGCTATTCAGCTCATTCAGCTTCTGCTTCTTTGAAGGAGAAATACATTTAGCTTGCGTTCAGAAACCATCCATCAGCCCATTACTTTTACCTTTATCGGTAGGAGAGCTAGCGAGTGAGCCCCCAACAACAATATCGCGCATGCGCGGTCGTCACGCCCTACCGATGTTCAATCTAGTTTACCCTAGAACGTCGCGGCAATCGCACTAATACGTACTTAACACATTTCAAATAATTTAAAATGTTCGCGTACAGTGGTATTGATTGTGTACGATAATTCCACATTGCAGCTCTGAAGATTTAAAGTAAGTCTAATTTTTATTTTGGTAGAGAGTATAAGCATTGGTTGCTAGCATGGTTTTCGTTTTATTGATTTAAGCTGACGATTGCTTTAGTCAAAACTCATGCAACATAGTCTGGGTTTATGCAATCCTGTGGTGTTTAAGTAATCTAAATTTAATTATACACATACTGGACAAAATACTTTATTACATAGTTAATTTTATTTAGATTTTCATGATAGTTTATTCCAGAGTTTAACCAGTCATGGTTTCGGTTCTTGTTCAGCAAAACAATATATAAAAACAAAGAATTGTAGTGACCTAATATTATTTTTTAAATAAACATAACCATATATATTACATATAGAGCATGTTAGTTTTGACAAATAAATAACGTTATACAGATTTATTGTCTATCTAAATTTCATAGTAGTACTTACCCGTATACTTTCTATGTAATGCAATAACAAATTATAACTGTTCAATGAAATAGTTCAGCAAATACCAATGTTCGGCAATAAATTTATAAATGTACAGTATATAGTTGGTATAGCTTGTATTATAAATTGTTAATGATATAAGTAAGCTCTAATAAACAAACATTTTTCTTTTTTTCCAATATTTTTTTTTTCTATTATTATAGAAAATTAAAGAAGAGTGTAAAATAAAAAATAAGTTCAATTCTCGTCCTAAAAATTTATTACTTTTTACTTTTGGAAAGATTCTGTCAGAGCATTATCAAGACTTATGCTGTAATGTGTCGTTTTAACTAAGGGTGCTTACAACACTTTTTAACGGACTTCAAAATGCTATGTTCTATGTTCGAGGTGCTATGTTCGACGGCGATATATGTATTTTTTTGTTCATCGATTAATCTGCTAATTGTTGGTCAACTTTAAAAAATATTTTCTATTAGACAGCTTAAGGCCCCGAGGTGGTAATATTTTGTTGGGTTTATGCGAATGTGTCACTGGTGAAAACATACTACAGTAAGCAAAGTCTCATGTGAATCGATTATCAGCAAAGTGAAAGTAGTTGTTTTGTAAACAAAGTAGGTATTCTCTGCGCTACTAAACAAAGACAAAATACAAAGAAAAACGTAATTAATTCTTCTCAAATATTCGCATAGGCGCTGAAAGATATGTAGTCTTGAATAATAATTATTTTTGTCTAATCCATTGGCGTATTTTGAGGTTCAGACCCTCGGGCCTTTTTGGATCCTGGCTGGGACTGGCTTTCGGGTTATTTTGTTTATCCACTTACTAAATTTCGGCCTTTTTGGATACTTTCTTATAGATTTGTTAAATATAAATATATCACACAAAAAAGAACATGTGTCGCTAGGCTGCCACAATGGGCAATTGTTACTTTAACCTTAGGGTAAATAGACACTAGGCTAACATTTTAGTAATTCTATCCAAGAGTCCATAAAAAAGCGCTTTTGTAGTGTATTGCATTATGACATAATCCAGTATTTAAAAGCAGATAAGAGATGGAATTTGTCGATTTGCTTGATAAGCCTATTATTTTTGTAAATTTCAAATATACATATATTTATGATATCAGGACCCGATTTTTTGTCTATATAGTTGAAATTATTAGAAATTTTTTAAGTACTGAAATTATTATTTGCTACGAGGCTGGTGCGGCGGCCGCTCGCTACGGTTCACTACGGATTGCGTAGTCGTAGCGGAACTAATAGGCTTATGTCACTGTGCTACGATGACACGTTAATTTATTAGGGACACATTTAAATCTAATCAATATTATGTATTGACTACAAATATTTAAGTTTACTAGTGTGGCCAAAATTCAATTACATATTTTGAATTTCGTTATGAGTTTATATATATTTGTCATTCGATAAAAAACATGTCAAACGCATGATAGTGTTTTTTTAATAAATTTCATATACTTTCTAAGTATTAATATAATAAGAGATAAGACTTCTGCACTTTATCAACAGTCAAGTGGTACAGAGTGGTACGCACGTCGATTTTAAGGTCTTAGAGGTCATCTTTGAGGTCCTGGATTCGATTCCCGATCGGGTTAAAGTAGATTTAAGATTCATTAAGAATATTTTTCTAAGATATTGTCTCTGGTCTCGGTGCTATGGTACCTTAATTTCAGATTTCTATAATACAATAACTAACCTTAAATCTGAACAAAGTATGCGATATTGTCTTATATTAAAAAATAATAAGAACCTGATTAATTATAGAGACTACTGTTACCACAGAAAACTGTTAAAAACTTTGTGGTACATTTGATCAATGTAAACAATTTTTATCTGTTAAATATATAATAAATTAAGGGCGAAGCACAGAAAAAAAATGGTATACTTATTATGACGTTGAAGGTCAAGACTCAATTATTGGCAATAAGCCAATAATTGGTACAATAAATATTTTTTAATTTGTTTTTTGACAGAATACTTTCAGAATTATTTAACCTTGTGTTTAGTTAAATTGTTCGAACCCTTTATGTTATGTGCGTGACAATATGTAAAAAATAATTTATTATGAATAATTCAAGCTTAAAATATAACATGCGCTCAGTAGTAGTGTGCTAACGTACAAGTAGTCGACTACATTGAAGTACCGGGTCACGCACGCTCTACTTGTTTATTTAATAAGCCGACAGTTAATTGCTTACACACATAATCCTCTGGGGCAGTTTAAGTTGATTGATATTATGATAACGTTAAACTAGAGTTTTTATAGGTATAAGGGTTGGTGCATATCTGTAGCGTAATTGTCGGTCGCGGAATGTCAGTCTGAAAATTATATCAAATGATTGGATGGAAACTTCGTCGCGTACTAAAGCATAATTCCATGAGACGGTTTACTATACATTATGTAAAATGGCATAATAAGTTCGTTTTTTTAATCAATGGGCTTATCTGAAACATGTAGTAGTAATCTTTTATTACATTTTTTTTATTATGATGTGTTTTTTATTTTCAATCATTGATAAAATATGAAATGATCAATGTTTGAGTGATATTGATGATGAAGCCGATTTCAAAATTTATTATTTAAAGTCTTATTATAGAACGAGGACTATAGTTAGTACTTTGTTTAAACCATTCACCGTTTAAAGCAAATTGACAATAACAGAATAGAAAATTTGAAATTGAGACGTTTTGACTTCATTGGGTCGAATAATGGATTCAACTTGTACTAAAATTAGTTGTAAGACAGACTATGGTGGTAAATAAAGTAGCAGATTCCACGATTTTCAAAAATTATGTTTTTTTTGTAGAACGCAATGCAGCCCACGGCGCGCGTAGCTGCGTGGTCTGCGTGGGCGGGGTGGGCTGCGGTCCCGCGGGACCTACTTGAGCACCGGCGAGTGCGCATTTCTTTGCACGAGCTGCCGCCGCGACGGGACTCGCCGCTCACGATCTACACGCCCGAACAAATTCGACATATTATCAGGTAATTACAGAAATGTTAACATTATTAGCTATTAATGATAGTGACGCAATCTTAAAAATGCAGATAGCCTTTTATAGGTATGACAGTCTGTATGAGAATTTAGGATAAATATATATTATAGTAAGTGTAATACACACCAAAGAAGATACAGGCGTAGAATGGTCTTCTTTTTCATTTGTAGAAATTAAATACCAAGTAGTTTTAATTATGTCTTCTATAATATGTAGGTTTTTTATAGATTTCCACTCTAAATGGTTGATTGATCTCTACATCCAATTTTTACTGGTCACCAACCAGAGAGTTTTAATTTTACTGGTCACCAACCAGTACAAATAATAATACATTTTTTCTTTCCAGGCTAGAGACGGCTCTGGGTCGATGGCCTCCGACCGCACCACCTGCAATATGGCGGCCCGACGCTCGACCATATGATTTGGACGCACATTGGCGCCTTCCAGATATGATACAAGTACGTATATAATTATATATTTGCACGAGGCTAATAGACGAGACAGTTAGCCAGTTTCTAATTTTACTGGACTGGCTTACTGGATTAACGCGGTTACTGGCTTTGGGTAAAATTCTCCTTCTGCCTCCTTCCTCAAATCGCTTCTCAGGTCGAATCAGATCCTTAAATCGCTGAGCTGATGCGATATTCTACAATGCTTCATTGACGTTGAGTTTTGGGGGCGGCAAAAGTTCACAGTAAACAATTTTTTTTTTAATATTTGAATCAATTCATATTTTTAACGCAACTATAAATTCGGACCGAATGAAAAGAGCACAGAAGTTTTCATTACTTAGTCTGTGACGAATTCGAAGAATACTCTTTCTTTAAATAATAATTTGTAGCGAATGGCAACACCATCTATTCTGACTTACGGGAATTCCTCGTACTTTATTTTGTGCTTGGATTGTTAATGACTTATAATCAGCAGGAATGACTTCTATTACATATATCGATGCAATAATATCAGCCACTGGTTGAGTCACAAATTGTATAAACAAAACACATACTATTTCTATGTCTTAGTTCGAGATAAAGAAAGTACCCAGACTACTAATATCCATCAAAGTCTTGTAAAGAGGAAATATATTTTTATAGTAATGACGAATTCGAAAATGTCTTATGTACCAAATTGGATATATTGCTTTATAACTGCTTAGCTATGAAGGTCATGGAAACATTAACGCTTTATCTTGGAAAAGAAAACATGCTGGTAAATTGAATTTATGTGAAGTACTAAGTGACGTGCCACTAAATTATTACATACATCACTTCACATTTCATCGATGTTATTATGCTTAGTTGTATCAAACTGAAAGTTTCAGAATGTCTTTTAATAACTGACTTACATTCGGTTTATGAATTGACAATTTAAAGTTAAGTACGTCTCAATATATTTGTTTCTAATTTTAGTTTTTTTATTTTAGTTTTTAATTTTAGTTTTGTTTCTAATTTTTGTTTGATAAAACTAGGACTTTTTGACTTGTGAAACGTAAAAACTTAAGTTATTTCGAATAACAGACTTCAAAATCGAAAAGGAGGAGGTTATATGTTCGCTGTATGTTTTTTTAATGTATATTCACCGATTCTTCCGCCGATTGTTGACAGATTTTCAAAATTCTCTTTTTATTTGACAGCTTTATAGACCGATATTAAATAGGACTATTTTTAAATTTTATCGAGATCGAATCGGTAGTTCTTTTTTATATGAAATAAAATCAACTTAAAGACAAAAGATTATGTATTATTCGTTCATTCAAAATCCAAAAGGAGGATTTTCTATGTTCGATGAGTATATATAATTTTTATGAAGGTCATCGATTTTTTCTTGAATTGTGAACCAATTTTTATCAAACTAGCTGTTTCCGCGCGACCTGCATAATTTATAGCATATGTACCTCGCATATTGAAGCTTCCCGTAGATGAAATATAATCATCGGTCGGGTATATAAGGTCTATTTATTCTTTCTTTATTGCAAAAACAAATCACAAAACTAAATGCCTAAGACATTCTCAACTAGAATAAGGATGAAAAAAGTAAAATACACACATCAACATCGTCTTGGGATATTTTGTATAAAATTCTAAATTCAAAAAATACTGGCCGGTTTTAAACTTTTGATGAATACTTATTTTGCACGCCTTTTTTGATGATTACCAAATTAAATTAAAAAAAATTCAAACAAAAGATTTGCTCGAAGTTTTCAATTCACTTACCATAGTTTTTGAAGATTTTTTGTGTTAAGGGCAGTAAACATGCTCCAACCTGGGGCTACTCAACGGAGTATTGCTGAGGACATCGGAACAAAACAAAACGTGATATCATGGTCACGTTATCGTGCTACTGGTGAAATGGCTGAAAGACACCAAGGCGGGAAGCGCATAACCACCCACAAACAAGACCGATTTTTGCTAATTGCTGCGAGAAGGCAACCAAATGTTACGGCCATGTAGTTGGTTTAAAGGCTCCAGTTAGAGCACTGGTTGCTTGTGAGTGACCAAACTGTGAGGAGAAGACTGCATGAAGCTAATCTTCATGCTCGCAGACCGCTTCGTACTCTTGCACTACGCCGAGGAAATCGTGGAAGAAGATTACAGTGGGCTCGTGAACATTTGCTCTGGGAAGGTAGCTAGTGGTCTGCAGTGCTGTTTACCGATGAGTCCCGATTCGGTTTCCATCCTGATTCGCGAAGAGTACGCGTATGGCGAACTTCTGGTCGTGAGAGACACCTGCAACACCCACAGTAAGTCCATCCATACAATGGGACGATTATGGTTTAAGAACAGACCTCGTTTGGATCAGAAACACCATGACCGCTGAAAAATACCTCAACCAAGTGCTAGTACCAATAGTCTACCCACATCGACTACAAATGGGTCAAGAATTCACGCTCATGCACGACAATGCTCGTGGGACATGCTCCAAAGAAGGGCTTTGAGGAATTTACTTACAACATTGTTAGTGAAGAGCAACTTTTTTGCATCTTTTCAGGACCTGGGACAATATCCCGCAGCAACACTTTGATAAGTTGATTCGAAGCATGAAAAATAATTGCAGGACCGTTGTTAACGTCATGGGTGGTGTTACTGACTATTGATTTTCGCAAAATTGCAAATAACGGAATAATTTCGCTATATTTTTCACTTTCTCTTGAAAGACACATTTATCGTTATTATTACCATTATTCTACTTTTCGTCTTTACTTAAATAATTACAAAATAAATATTAATGTTTTATTCTCTAATCTACGCTTATAAATGGGCTTTATAAAAATAAAAACATGTTGTATATTATTCAGAAAAAAAAACAGAAAATTATGAATAATTAAAATATCCCTAGACGATGTATATTAACAAATTAATATACATACTAATAATGATATACAATACATACACTAACAGATATATAAAATAAATTGCATAATAGGAATTAAATTTTACATACTAAGATAGTAGTCTTAAATACCATTATGCTTTTAGTAATCCTAATGTAAAGTGGTAAAGCATTCCAAAGGCGAATAGCATTTAGGTTAAGAGATTTGGAAATGAATGCAGTATGACGACGGGGAGTTTGGAGAATGAGGTTGCTACTAGATCGAAGATCACGTTGATTATAGGAACCAAGACTTTGTATCCTGGAGTTCATAGATCGAATAAAATTTTGAAGCGCATACTGACAACTCGCCAGTTTCTGAATTGATGAACGGTCAGCCATTCGAGTTGTTTCCTGTAGTTAGAGAAATGAACGTATTTACGAAGGCCGTACATGATCCGAATAGCACTATTAAGTAAACGATCCAATTTGTCGTGAAGATATTGAGTAGTGTCAATATAGCAGACGTCAGAGTAATCGTGGATAGGTAAAACAAAAGCCCATACTAATGCATTTTAAGTACTCGATGGGAGAAAGAATTTTAGTCTTTAAAGGGACCTACGCGTATTGACTATCTTACGACACACTTCCCAACTGAGAGTACAGTCACTGAGCAGGCCTAGGTTCATGCTATAAGACTGAAATGGAATAACTTGTAATCTTTGTATAGTACCTGCGTAACAATGCTCGGATCAATAACTGCCAATTGACGGGAACTACCGATAATAAATGCTTTGGCACTTAGATGTGTTTACAGATACACCATAGCAGTTAGACCACTCAAAAATGCTACATGTCCTGATTAAGACACGAAATGATGTCATATATATTGTTTTTGTCGGCTTGAGTATATATCTGAAGATCGTCTGCATATAAGTGATAAGATGTAAATAAGAAGTTGAGTAGGGAGAGTTAATGAATAATGTGAAGAGAAGGGGAGAAAGTATGCCACTTTGCGGAACAGTCACATCAATCAGAAGTGTTCTGATTAACGCTAATCGCCTGCTGTCGACCACGAAGATATGAAGAGAACTATGACTGAGCTGAGGAAGAAAGTACGATGTGAGTGAGGATGGCAAGTAGAATCTCATGGTTGACAAAGGTAAAAGCATTAGAGAAATCTATTAGTACCATAACTTTCAGCCGTGAGTGCTCTCTATAATCGGTTCAATGGTTTCGGAACCTGTCCATATTTACAAACAATTTAAAAAAAAATATGTCGACATAAACAAAATCTCCTTTTCTAAGACTTTCACAATGTTGAATATCTTTTCTTTTATAGATATTTAATATTTTTGGTGTTACCTATTTAACAATAATCTTACTATACATTGTAATTTCAGAACGTTCGTTTGGAGCGAGGTGGGATTGCGCCGCCGCCGCCAATAGAAGGTCCCGCGAGAGGATGGGAGAATGCAGCGCGGGGCTGGGCCGCTGGGGCGGTGTTACTGGCTGTACTACTGCTGTTAGTGCGTGCGCTTGAACGATGCCTACACCGAAGACTGTTCAAAGGTATAATCCGTAACGTACCACCTCTTTAACTCAAAGTTAAATACAAAATTAGAAGACGACTATTATTAGTGTGATACGTATGTGATATGTGCAACCCCTTATTCTGTTACTTTGAAGACAATAGAAATAAATTATTCAGAGAGCTCTGTGGTCAACCAGTCAAACAAATAAGTATTAAAATTTTTCGCTTTTTAATGTTATTACGATTTTAAGGGGTTTTAGGTTGGAGAGAGGTGTAAAGTAATAAAAATATCAATCAATGATTTTGAAAAACTATACCTGACTGTCCATTTTAGATTTTGTCATAATTATTGGCGGTACAATGAGTAAATCAATTTTAGGGCATATTTAGGTATTTATTTGGTAAAAATAAGTTTTTAATCTGAAATTTAGCATTAGGAATTGAATAGAAATAGTAAAGTTTAGATAAAACAATATTATTTAGGATACAAATAAAGAAATGGATCTCTTTCAGGTCGGAGACGATCCTCTGAAGAATGGCCGACGCCTAACGTTATGGCTACTAGTTGTAAGTTATTTTTAGTCGTTTTACCAACTCTTCAGAAATATAAATTAACTTCATACTTATAAAACATCCATTTAAAATATCAAAATCGATTAAAATGTCTAATAACAGGCTGAAATGAACTTACTCCTTATTTATGAGAAAAATGGTTACGTTACTTTCAGGTCAATATGGAGGTCCGACGTTACCAAGACTCGAAGACTCAGATACTTATCCGTCTGAGAATCGGGAGACATCGAGTAACGACCTCCCACCTCCGTACTCCGAATGTGCCAACAATGAAGAAGTCTCAAATCCAGATGCCAACAAACCATTAGGAATGGAAGAACCACCGCCTCCGTATTCAGCTTGCTATTTTACCAATCCAAAGAATGGTATACCCACAGTCCATTTCTATTCCAGAAGAAGTAATTTGAATAACGTTGAAGCTGGCCATTCAAGCACAGATTACAATGCAGCATCTAGTTTATCAATAGTTGAAAATGAAGAAGCTGACAAGATTTCAAATTGTATTATAAGTTATGATGATAATAGAGATTTGAGATGTGAAGAGTCAAATGACGCCCGTGTAATAAACTGTAACATATATGAAGTCACAGGCGAAGCAAATCATGATGTAGTTACTAGTGACAGGGGTAATGAACATGTTGTAGAAATCAAAGATCAAGAAACACAAGAAAGAGCCTTGCAAGTTTAAAAAATTATATGGTGTATATGGTGATTTTTAATGGCATATCCGTATGCCAATAAAAGACTCGTAAATGCTTAACGAGTGTATTAATGGATTGGTCATGCAGTTGAAGAAATATAAAAAATGTTACATGCTAATTTGTTTCAACACTTGAATTTGATACACCTTCATTTGTTTCGCATGATGCTTAATCTAGATATTATTTTTATATGCATTCTTTTTTATTCAGATATTAAATAATATGTATATAATATTCCTTGCTAAACGAATCCTGTTAGTGATTTCATATAATATTGATATGAGTACTGTGTGACCACTAGAATTTGAACGATTTAAGAATAATAAGGCCTTTGCCCCAGCAGTGAAGTCATTAAACGCCTGATCTTGACTATGAAGAATTGTAAATTTTAATTAATCTTGGCTATCGAATAGCGACTTCGATAAATTTTTATAAATAAGTTTTTTAGAAACATTATTGTTATTTAGATATCAAATTTTTAATTTGATCAATTCACCACTTAAGGAATTATCAACCTAAAAACGAGTCCCGTAATTCTCAATTTCAGTGGGATCACAATTAATAGATTTGCTTAAGTATCTCAAATTTAGTTATAGAATACACTTTTGTAATTTTGTAGTTCGAACTCAACACTTAAGTCGTAGAAATATTAGAACACTGCGATATTATTAACATAATGCCATCATATTTGTAGAAGAATATCCGATTCTAATTTATTGTAATAGGAGCAATAATGTAATAAATAATAATGTCTAGTTTCCTCTTCAATATTGATTATCCTACCATTGATTGGATAGCTGCATTTTGCAATATTTTTAGACACAAATTATATCTTAATTAATTTAAATAAAAAATGATTAGTAAAAAATTATGTTTTTTTTATTAAGTCTCACTTTATTTTCAGTTAATAGAGAATTAGCCAGTTGCCATTAGTTTAAAGCGACATTATTGAAACAAATTTGACATCAGTTAGAACTTAAAGTCGTCATTAAACCATAATGGACGTTTGTACAAGCCTATAGTTTGAAGGTGCAATTGACGCTTACACCCGAGTTAACTACTCTACATCTCGATTGTGTGGTAAGTAGAAAAAAAAAACATTACAAAAATGAAACATTTTATTAGTTAAAGGTATTCGTCAAATTATTTAAAAAAAAAAACAAATATTTTGTATAGTGCTTTTATTAAACTACAAGTAAATCAATAAATACTTCACTTTTACACCTAGTTAATGTTATTATTAATTACAAATATATTCTTAAATTACTTATTAACCATAAATGCACTTTGAGCCTTAAGATAAATCGATACATTTTTAAAAGTTCGTATTAGCCATTAACTTTAATAAAATCTAGTTATTTCTTATTTTTTTTACAAAATTATAAAACCATAAGAGATCTCATCTCATCGCCTTTCCCTATGAAATGTTTTGGTTCAATACATCCTACTTTTAATTCTGTAACAATAAGTAAGCTATCTGCAGTCTTAAATTCACAACGTTGGAAATTAGCACCGAGTGTGGAAAATATTGTCTTTTAATCAAAATCATTATTTTATTCTATTAAACTAAAAGTACTTCAATCGTGTTTTCTATCAAATAGTTTTCATATTTGTAAATTGTCAATATAGAATATTAAATACACAAAAAAATATCTTCGAATGTATATAATAGTAACGCACACATTTATATATTATATACTATCATTTTAATATTTTGTTTATTTAGATGATTGCATTGACTTTATCATCGGTTGTTGAAAACATATAGTATTCCATTAATACATTAAAATAAATTTAAAATTATTTACATATTTTGGAAACATAACATGTAACAGAATAAAATGAAAATGACATACGGTATTTTATTATAAGAAAGTATAATGATTATTTTGAAACTGTTTTTTCGAAATCTCAGAAATTAAAATAATTGCCGACGTTACATAAATTCTGTCTCATTTAAATAAAATAAAAATAATTGGAGTTTATAGTACAAGTTTACAATATATTCCCAAATACACAAGCCACTGAATTATGCGTTTTAAAAATAGTGAAGACTATATACGTTACAAAAATGTCGATAACATTTTATTATGTTGAATATAGCGCCACAAACATTGCATATCCCGTCGTTAAAGATTTCTTAAGCAAAATTAGTAATTATTGTATTACACTGGTTGTTCTGTTGTGATCTACAATTCATTGTTCTGTCGGCGTCGCACATAACGAGCGAAGTAATCAGGACGCCAGCACTTGCATGAGCCAGGGACCAAGAACCAGTCGTAGTAAAGTCGTACCTGATTTATTAAAAAACAAAATTATTGACTAATTAAAGTTAAACTACTAGTACCAATCAAAATGACATCTGAAGGCCTTTTCTATTCGCCGAAAACGAATATCCGTTTATTTTCGAATGTTAATGCTACTATTTAAGAAACACATTTATCGATAATTTATAATAATGCAACGGTGCAAGGACCTTACACTGACTTTGATGCACAGATAATCACGGATATTATTATAACAAAATTATAAAAAATCTTTGAAAATTTCGTTCGAGGTCAAATAGGATGAGCGCTCGGGTATAATAATCTTAATTCGTAGGAGTTATATGCGTTATTCCTATTCATTTGATATCACAGTTAGATACTATCTAATGTTTTATCTAATTGTCAAGAAATCTTTTGTAATAAGATAGTATTACGAATGCTAAATATTAAAGTATTAAGATAGTATTACCAAAGCTTAATATTAAATTGGAGAATAGTTTAAGACGAAATTAAATCATCGTAATTCTGTTTAATAGTAATTTAACCCTTAAATAGGATTGGAGGAAAACATGTATGAGATTATGTCTTGAGACGCAAATTGAAATAGTGATGCAGGTTAGCTTTGGAAAATTAATTAAAGATTCAAAAGATATTTTTTTAATTTATATATGTACAAAAATTTGTTTAAAAATATTTCTTTAATGAACTAGGTGCTTTTTGATAGTTTAAAAATATTCACATGTTTAAATGAGTAAAAATATCGGCCTTGAAGGAAAGACGATTTAATTTTTGTTTCTTTGTAGAGATTATAGGGTACAATGGATCATGTACCTGAAAACATCCGAAGTTGTCATGCCCATCACAGTGGGGTGCCTTCTCTTCAGTTGGATTCTTCTGCGGGAACTGTTGGTATTCCTAATGAATCAAACAATTAATGACGCCGAGTGCCTTGTATTATTTGAATGTATGGTAGAGAGTCTATGATGATAAGTTTGTAAATCGGAGAGACTGAGTGACATTAGCGAAGGAAAATTTAAATCATTACATAAAGTCATACATTAAATTTTTGTAGCAAAAAAGATTTTTTTTTCCATTTTTTTATGAAATTTTAGATGTAATACAACCGTATTCAATTGTAAAATTATGTAATTATTGACAAATAGTTGTGAACAGAAGATTTTATATTGCGTTATTAAAACATATTTTAAGAGAAATTGCCGATTTTCAAACAACTGCCGTTACGGACATTATTCTGGAGACGTGTGTATAAAATATTAAGCGAAAATGGTTATTAATGGAAATTTTATTCCACATTGAGAAATTAGATTTGAATAAATTCGGTAACCAGTTTCTTTTATATAGTAACTTTTACAATTCAGTTTGAAATCAAGACTAGTTATGAGATTCTTGCGAATCAACAGAGCATGTTATTGAAATCAAAATTAAAGTTTTTTACTTTTATAGATAAATTTTTATATAAAATTCTCAACCCGCTGTTACACATCTTGTTGATTTTTGGATTTTATTTTCACAATTTTTCGACGTTGTTTTATTTCTTCATAGTCTATCAAAGTATGTAATGCTTTAATATACCGTAATAATATACATGCATGAGTGAAAATATGTACATGAAAAGAGAGAATGAAACTTCAGACACATAATCAATTAACCAATTTTTACTACTTAAAAAGAGTACAAATATAAAAATAAAATACCTTATTAAAAATAGTGACGGTAGAGAAATTATGAAATATGCACGTAAGATGTAGGTAGGTTCCCCCTCATTGATAGTACAATTTATTCGGTGTTTATTTTTTATATCACAATCAATTAGGCAGTCTCTTAAATGGCTAGAATTAAACAGAACGTCCAAGTGAAATCATAAGGTAAAATATGGATGTTTCATACCTGTCCAGGATAGTGTAGCTCGGCAACCAGTAGCGATACCCAGCGCGGTGAGCTTAGGCACCCACCCTCTAGGTAGTGGCAGCGAGATTGCATACATCTGATCAAACAATATACATCATAATTATGCGGTGGACATAGGTTATATTTTATTCCGGAACAGCATACGAAGGGATGAAAGTGGGATTGGAAGTTTTGTATAGGGAATTAAAGCGTTACCATAGTAACCATTGTTTACTATTCAGTTTGTCTTGTACAGTTATATCCGTGTCACGATATAAAGCCTGATCCAAATGAAATATCAAATTAAATTCCAAGTCTAGATTAACAAATGGGCAACTTTTTATCACACTTAACAGTTTCCTAGGGACCACGCGGGTAAAGCCGCTGGCGAAAGACTAGTATACTATGAGTTTGAAAATTTCCAGTTATTTGTGTTTGTCGATTTACACGACTACATACATGTTTAGACTAACCTTGTAACCTCAACGGTTTGTGTGAAGTACCCTTCGTACGGTATCTGCACCACGTATCGCCACACACCTTGGTAGTTGCGGGCGAACACTGGTGTCGCGTACTCCACACGTGCGGGGCACGGGGTCGGCGGACCCTGAACGAAACGATATTATTTAAAGATTACCAGACACTAAATAGGAATTGAGAACGCCTCAAGGTTCTGTATACTATCTTATAAAGTAAATCACATTCAGTTATAGCTGAATTTTATCATGTTAACCAAGGTACCTTGGTCTATTGATGTGATATCAATGTAGGTATTTTGTTATTAGATTATTTTAATTTAACAGGGGTAATATTATGACAATAATATAAAAAGATATCTGCAACTAGCTACGCGATTTTTATTATGTGGGTGATTTTAACAATTTAAACGGTCTTTTTTAGTACCGATGTTTATTGAAATGTGACATCTACCCCAACTTATATTATTCCTCTATGGTGATATCATAGCTCGAAATGGCACGTGACTGATTGTTTTGTCAGGTCAATCAGGCGGGTCAGTTTAAGTTAATGAATTAAAATATTTTTTGGAGAATAATAAATCTGATAACAGTTTAACATATCTGAAAGTTTTAAACTTCTTTTTCAAAACAAGTAGCAATAGCAATTTTTAGGTATTTTGGGCTTAAGAGAAAAAGCAATTAATTACCTCGTATCGGTGGGGTGCCGGTCGCGGACCGGGGTCCTCGCGGCGCTCGAGGGGTGCGGGTGCACCTTCTGACTCACCATTGATGGCGCGGTACAGCATACAAAATCTACAACACACCAATTTACTATATAGTTATTGTTTTTTGTATGGTCTATCCCAGGGGTCGTTAAAAATGTTACTGAATCCTAAAAAAAAAACAATCTCATAACGATCAGGGTGGATATTTTCTTAAAAGAGAAAGAGGAAAGGAATCACGATAGTTCTTATAAAATATTACAAAAACCCACAAAGTTAAAATTATAAGAATCAAAAGGAAAAAAATAAACGAAGTAACAATGAGGCAGTATTTTAAGAAAAAAGAAAGCACTAAAAAGTACTTCACTAGATGGCGACTCTACCAAAAGTTGATTTTTGCAGGAAACGAACGGACCAAAAATAGTCATATCAAGTCAAGTAAAGTTTTAACTAACATATTAAAAAACTGAAATTTGCAAATTTGAAATTTATATATCAATAAAAATACGAAAAAGTGCAAATAGAATATGAGTTGTTTATTGAGTTTTGAAAACTAATTTACTTTTATGAAAGAAAACAGGAAAAGTTGTAATGGAGAATTTAAGAAAGTACCGTAGCGTCATCTAGTTTGATATCGGGAACTATATTTTTTAAATACTTCCTCATTTTTTGAATAATGACAAACGAATTACAGAAATAAGTAAAAAATATTTAATACGAAGTTAGATATCCATAATGTCACTTTGACAGTGATAATGACAACGACAATCCAAATAAATTAGAGTTATCTTTTTTGACTCTGTCAAGTGATTCAAAGTTTGCCTCAGTCTTTTTCGAGGAGGCCTCCAATGTAGTAGCTGCAAGTATGATGATATTATTTCCATTACTTAACGACTAGTGCAAATTATATATTTCTACGACATTTATATTTTGATGCTTATTTTTAACGTCTTTTTAATTTTACAGACATGATAAATACTGACCATACATATACCATAGAGGATTTTTTTTTTTTAAGTAACCGCTTTTTTATAAAGTACTTGATATCAAAAACGATAACAGATGTCTGGCATTCCAAACATAAATAATTTTACATTTTCTAGCCTTAGACATTTGCTTGCAATGTTGTGTCATTTATAGCTTTATACACTATGGAGGGTGGTAGTTTTCGAAATCGGGTTAGGGAGAATTCATTTTAGTTGCCATGATTCATATCCAAGTTCAGTTAACTTGAGTTAGTGACACGAGTTGGCACAGCACTAAAAAGACTTTACGTCACTGACATATTGTAATCTTTGGTCACTGAATTCTGATTTTCGCGAACCCGTTTTAAGCATTTTAGGTTAGGAATTTCTATAATAAAATAAATAAATGTCTCTTAATCGTTATAATAAAAAATGTCATCTGCCTTAGTTCGCCAGGCTCTTGAATTCGTCGATCCAGAAGGTTAGCTAATCTTCCATTCATATTAAATTTATGAGTAGTCTTTATGTTTCCATAATAATTTTGATACTAAATGTTTTGATTCAGAGAGCGGCGGCAAACGAAACAAACGTCCTAAAAGGCAACCAACTCGCCCGGGGGCATCAGGTCAAGGTGTGTATAATCATTCCATTGAATATTGGAGATCAATAAAATATATTCCTAACCTAATTGATGACGTAAATTTAATAACATTTTATAACTTCGTAAGTCCCATTTCCGAGTGGGTTATCATGCTTTTATCAAAAAATGTACAAGTCGTTGTGTTGTAAAAATACGAAAACTATTATCATACAAATGACTATTGTCTTAATATAGTTTTAGTAGTACTACTAAAGCTTTATTTTATTTTATAGATAGAGATCCTTACAAACGCAAAGAGAAGTCAGTACAGAAGGAAACTAGAAGAGATAAAGCTGAGGAAATCATAGAAAAACTGCTAGCTTTGTCTACACCTTCTGTAGACAAAAAAATTGCAGAACAGGTAGAGTAAATGAAATTTTTATATTACTTTAATAATAATCCTTCTTTGGAAACACTTTACAATAAGTGATATCACATATTTTGTACATAATTTTTTTAGACTAGGTAATAATTTGAGTGATTTTATATAGGACTGGTTATTTTTTTCTTGTATCAAGTATTTAAGATATTTCATGGAATTACAAAGAATATTAATAAATGAAATGAAATTATATTGCATAGTCACATAATTATAAGGAAATAGCTCTCCATTAAATTATGTTTTTCCACTCTGACCAACTAAGCTGACCAACTGAAACAGATCAACTATTTACTTTCCCAACAATCCAACTTTTTTGGTAGCGGATCTACTGCTATCATAAAAAGTATAGGACTAGATTATAAATTTAAATTTGCTCCCATCCACACAACTTCAAACAGATAAACTATTTTTCTTTCTCCTCAGTACAACTTTATAATCAACTTCAAAATCGAAAAGTATGTTAACTGATTTTACTGCAAATTAATGACCAATTTTATACTATTGGAAATATCTATTATATCTTGCAAATACACAAATTCTTCAGGACTTTCATAATGCTAACATACATTTTTATATGGATATTTGTTGTGATACTTTTATACTTTACATAAAGAAAAAATATAAGTATATCTAAACATTTTGTAATAAAAATATTTTTTTTAAATAGAACCAACTTCATACTTTAGAAAGTGAGAAATAATATATTGATTTCTTATATTTTCACATGCACTATCCATAAAGGAAACAACTTTTAAATGGTTTCATGGTGTTTGTATTTTCTTTTATGATGTTTCGGACACTTCTAAGGTTCCATGTTTACATCAGATGGTGTTGATTGTCTTTTTTCAACACCAAATCAATTATCATTTTAATAACCAGAGAACCTCGGTCCAACGTCAATAACAGTTTCTTGAATAATTACACAGCTTTTAAGATAAGTATTTTTTTGTTATATATAAAAATTTTTGATATCACATTTTTGAATAAAATTTTTGATAAAAATTTTAGTTAAACTGAAAGGAATATTTATAAATAAAAAATATTTCATCTACACAAATAAAACTAGATACAAATACTTCTAGTATTCAACCATTATTTTATTTAGAATAATAATAATAATAAACTAACACATGCATTTAATTAGTGAAGTTTTAATATGAAAAATGTGCGAGTGGGGAAAAATACAAATTAATAAATTACTTTTATCAAACTAACTGAAAAGTTGTTTCCTTGAGAAAGAAAACTAGTTGATGAAAAACAGTTCACTTCATCGGAATGGAATATTTTTTCCCAAAACATAATATGTGAGCAACTAGTTAGTCAGATTGGAATAAAACCCTTTATCGAGTTCCATTCTGCACAGCCAGTTGGTCAGTTTATTTGGTCCGCGTGGAAGGACAGATTAAATTGGTATAGATATTACTATTAATTTTTTTCTAACAAAACTGAATGTGGATTTTTTTATAAACAATATACATTAAGGAGGAACTCGTATTCACATGAGTTATTATTCATTCGCTGAATATAAAGTAGCAACAGAGGATGATCTGAAGATTGAATTAAAACTTCATTATATTCCTGAGAATAAATTAATTTACACGATAGTTGACGCTCTAACATGGCACACACTCTAAATTTGGAATAAATGGCGCCACAAAAAATCGAGATTCAAGATAATATCAACTAAATTGGAAAAAAAAATGTCTTTATTGAAACTTATTAAACCCTCCTGTAACTTTACAGACTTACAGTCTTATATTGCTGTTACATATAAAATTATGAACCATGTGACAATCAAATATTTTCAAATTAATTAATTAAATTTATTTAATAAATAAGCAATAAATTAATCAGAGCAAAACTAATTAATAGATAGTTTTATGATGTCTAATTTTCATTTTCAGATTCTAAAACGCTCTATCAAAGGAAAACCTTTGGCAGATAAATTAGAAATAAAAAAAGACGACGGAAAGTCTATTTTATTCCCAGATTAATATTCTAATCTTCAGAGAATAGTTTTTAATGAAGCAGTTAATGTTAGAATACTAAAATTGAAATTGGGCTGATGTGTATCTATTTATGGACATTCCTGATGCAGTTTTAGGGAAACTGACTCTAGTTTCAACAGCTGCTGTATTCACTGTACTTGTATTTTGGATTAACACTAACCCTTTTATTGACGAAGGTAAGCTTAAATATTTTTTTAAAGTAATGTGTTCTGTTCTGTAAAGTAATGTAATATTAGCAATTTCATAATATAATACTAATTTAAGAAAATAAATGTGATATTTAATTATTTCAGATCTTTCAATATTTAGCCTGATTCCGAACCCACAGTGGTTCCTATTGTTCTGCGCACTTTGGGGTTTATTTTTCGTCGGGGGTCTAATGTCATTCACTTTCTATCACATCCGACCATTTCTATAATTCAAAGGACAGTCACCAAAATGACACACAGGAATGAATGGATTATTATCGGAATATCTGGTGTTACTTGCGGTGGGAAAACGACTTTGGCCAATAAATTAACGGAAATATTGACGCCAGTATATGTATTCCATCAAGATAAATACTTCTATCCAGATGATAGCCCTAAGCATATTCCGTGTGACGGTTTAGCTCATAACAATTACGATGTGTTATCGGCGTTAGATATGCATAGTATGCATGAAGATATTATGGCTACACTGAAGGGTGATTTGAAAGCTCATCAGTCGAGCATCGGAAGGAGGCCAGAACAGATGGAGATAAAAGGGAAGAAGTTCTTGATTGTTGAAGGATTTACTGTCTTGAATTTTAAACCTATTATGGAACTTTGCGATTTTAGGTAAGAATTTTCTCAACAATTCAAAATCGCATTAGTGATCTAAACTCTTATTATGGTAATCATGAACAAAGTAAAATTTGTCATATAAAAATGCATTACCATTATTGCAATTAACAATAACTTGGATATCTGTTTCGATATGTTCTTTCCATATTTACCTTATTATAATGTCTACTACCTACTCTATTATAATGCCAACAAGTTAATGTTGCGATTGTACTGTGTGTTATGGTTACGTATAGATACTACTTCATCTTGGAGTATGGCGAGTGTTTATCGCGGCGCGTGTATCGTCTCTACGATCCTCCAGATATCGACGGGTACTTCGACACTTGCGTGTGGCCTGAGCACTTGAGGTACAGAGCAGAGGTTAGTATGTTTTATTAAACCAATTTATCATATCATTCCTACAATTCTATTATTGGCAAAGATTTGTTTAGTTTTTATCAATAATCTGAAGTACATACATCTTGTCATTGCAACTGTAGATTTTATTCTCGTTATTTGACTTGAAGTGAGTAATTTGACAGCATTTGCTATTAAAAAGGTAATAAAGTCGGACAAGCTATATTCACTTTGGCATTTCTACAAGGAAAATTTTGTAGTTTGTTAAATGATCTTCTGTTGACATAGATTTATAACTGAATTACAGATTGAAAAGGACAGTCGCGTGGTGTTACTAGATGGCACCAGACCTGATGCTTTCGATGTAGTACTCAATGATCTGCGGAACGCCGGCGCAACTCACGTCTAGCTATACTATACTAATTCAAGAATCTTAGTAATCGACTTTCCACTAGTTTATTGAGCACACAAAGTACAAAATAGTAACAGGGTTGCTAACTCCATATTACGCGATTGCGTTCGATAGTAAGGGGGGCAGGATTTGAAATTAGAAAAGTCAATCACAATCGTTTTCGAAGCAGTAATATCTAATTGTAGTCTATTAAAATAAATGAAATTGTAGTTACTTTTAAAGAAACGCTATTGCATAAATCGATTGAGTTGAAACAAAGTAATTAATCTGTGGAATGTTTGATACGGAAAGGTATGGAAGTGTATCACACACATTAATAGGAGGAAAAATATCACAAGTCGGCCGTAACATACGATAACCTTATAAGGGCAAACTAAAAACCCAGGATTTTTTTAAACTATTCAGGCCATCCTAGGTCACCACAATAACCAGGACGTCTCGGGAAAATAGGAAGATTAGCAAACCTATGAAACATAAACTACACGTGTACTATAAACTGTATAATTTTAATAATGACGTCACTATCGCGTTAAATGGCACAATCGTGACGTCACTGCCGCAAGAGTTAGGGGTCATCTATTAATCACGTGATTTTTTTTCATTATTTTTAACTCCCCCTCCCCTCCACCCAAATCACGTATATTTTTAGCACCTTAAAAAAAAACAAATTTTGGACACCGATTTTGGGTTTAGAAAAAATAAACGTGGTATATTACTATACGCTTGAATCTTTAATCTCATCATCTTGATCATTTCATTTTCGGTTAAAAACGATTCTCTTTTATGTTCTATTCACTTAAAAGCCTTCATTTTAAATCATAAGGATAACAATATTTATTTATGTAGCAATATAGTAATAAAAAGGAATGTATGAAAGTAATAAAACACTAATGCACAGTAATTTAATAAAACACATCATACACCAGCCCCTGGTGAATTATAATATTTATAAGATACCTCATTTGCATGCCTTAAAGTTTAAATTCATTAGTGACTGATTGATTATAGCTAGATGTACTTTTACTTTATTGGAACTCTGTACAAAATAAAATGGAAAATTTTGACTAGAGCTTCATTAAATCAAAATCAGCCTAAATTTAAATAAATAGGTAAATTAATTTTTATATAAATTCAGTTTAAAACAGATTCTTCTGTTTGGTATAGTGTACAGTATATTGACAAATGAAATTATATGGAATATAAATATTTTAAGACTTTGTTGTACAGGTGACTTGATATTTATCCTAAGGGATTAAGGTAGACCTTGTGTGCACTTAATTTAGTCATGTGATAATGGCGAAACTGTTTTTTTTTGTCTTATTCAAGATTTAAGTATTAAAGAAGACATATAAAGGAACTCCAGTTTTCAAGTTAAATACCTTGTAGTGACAGAGACAGAATTTCTTCAGAATTCTTTTGTTATTTTCTGATTTAAATAATGATTCTTTAATAAATATAAATCAGAGATTATAACATGGTCGTATTCATTAAGGTTCTTAGACCTATTTTAAAAAATTACCTAGATAATTTCGTCGTCATTTTACTAAAAGATAATTTATATTAAGGTAAATAAACAAAATTCGGATTCTATTTTAACCATTTGCAAGTAATTAATCTCATTTCAGATGACCCCGTATAAAAATGTTAAGCCGATAAAAATATTTAATTTTTAAAAATAAAAATAGCATTTAATATTGTTGTTGCGTAGCATGGCGAACTCGACAGACTGGCAAAAAGGGCGAAAGTATGATTGTATGGATGGGTGGGCATATCTAACACGATCTATTTCTAGAGTGTGTTGAGAAGTTCTCGAGTCTCGAGTTCGTCATGCTAAGCGGACTTGTTGATATAATGTGTTCTCAAAAATGAAAAACTGTTTGTGCCTATTTAGATTTTCTTTAGTTATTGTGTTTTATTAAATATCTAGATGGTTGTAGCTAGGAAAGTTGAGTTGGTAGTCAATTATAAATTTCTTTATATTTTTTATACAGTGTTTGTTTCAACATCAACATTGAAGTTATAAATTGTGCATCATAAGATGTATGACGAATATTGTTTTTTTATAATAAATTATATTATATATGAACTAGTTTTATTAACCTTTGTACTAATTATTCTATGAAAAATGACTTAAAATAATGCTACATAATTATTCATTATTATAGATTTGGATTTATTTAATATGCATATACAGAAACGAGCCACTTTTATTTTGTCTCCCTCCAGTAAAATTTAATTAAAAAGAGATACAAAATTTGATGATCGAGACAGTTATATTTTAATGTTACTAATATACACTGGACACTGGAGTATGTTCTAATAAAATGGATTGTTCTACACAGTATATTAGCTTTTTCGACATTATACCATCATAGATGTTATAGAATAGGTTATTATTTTTGTTCTATTAAATATAGAACAGTATATAATGTATGTAGTTTAGGGTTCAATCTATACTCGGGGGTGAGCGTCCTGGCGACTCGGTCACGGCTTCCTGGGTCTCATCCCCAGGGGAGGGTACACCGTAGGGTTTTTTGTGGGTAGGCCTTCGAGGGCCCACGTAGGAGAGTGGGTTCACGTAGGAGAGTCCCACACACCCCTTGTCGCTTGCCAGGCGGCAGGGATAATGCCTATGCATTTCCTCGACGTAAATAAAAAAAAGGGTGCTATCTATACTCACACCCCGCCGCCGTCACAGAATTTTCTGCCGTCTCGCGCCTGTCGCGGCGATTCGTCGGCTCGATGTTCCACATGTAATTGATCTGACGGAACATCCTCCGGGTCCACGGATCGTTTGTTACGCTCCTCCAACCTGCAGTAAGTAACCGTCAGAAACGAAAATAATGTGCATTTACAATATGTTTATCACGATTTTGTCTATGGTTCTTTGAACCGGTGAATTTTTTATAGGGAGGATGACTATTTTTGTTTGTACGTCGAGTAGATTTAATTATTATTAAACATGCATTAGCCATATTAAACATAATATTGTTTTTTGTGTAATCAATAAATTATGGTGACAACTTAATGAAACGTCGCATTACGTTACGCGAGCCCCCACTCCTTAACTTTGATGCTTATTATTTTAGCCATTTCTTTTATATTCAAGCAAGCAAGAAAATACGTATCGAATATTTTTCTAATATTCTTAGGACTGACTAAATAGAATTTCTTTTCTTACCCACGCATCGTCAATATTATCTTTTTATTTTCATTGTTTTTTTTTTCTAAAACTCACCCGTTGTGTTGTAAATAAGGAACGTTATCATCAGTAGTGGGCACAGGTTGTGATGGGGCGGGAGCTGGATACGGCAGTCTTGTTACTCGCGGTAGAGACTCGTCGTTTCGTAGGGCCGGTAATGCACGAGACAAAAAACGTAATGTGTGGTTGCGGATCAGATCACTAGAAAATATGTAGTTTTAAAAGTATTGTAAACGGAGAAGTCATACATATGGGTTAAAACTAATTTTGTAAAGATAGGAACTAAAGATCCGCTGTCTGGAGTTTAATAATCACCTTTAAGCCATATAATGGATACAGGAGTTTCATAGCCAAAAGAATTGTAAGTCTAAGAGGTAAAACTAAGTGATAAACAGATAGTTCTTAAATTACTGGCACAGTCTGCTCAAGATATATCGAAACCTCTAAAGTAGAGAAAATATCTGCAGTTTTTAGAATAAAAATAAAGTGATAGACTTACAAAGGATAAGGCTCCCCGTCTGGACTTTGACCCATGGGATTCCTGGGTATGTCGCCTCGGTTTAGATCCCCGCAGAGGTTGTGCGCGGTCACATGCGGCTTACTGTCGCCTGCTTCCGCGCACTCTACGTCCACTTTACGATAAGGCGGCGGGCGAACTCTGTGAAAAATTCAACTATAATTCAAACATGAATTATGCAATTCTAATAATTCACGACTACAAATTTATCATCATTGTGATTAAAACCATACCCCAATTGATGATAGGTTTGCAACGTGTCAATTTTTTGTATAAATTCTGTATTATTCAAAACTTAATTTTAGTGAAATGATTGGCGTCAGTGAAAGTGACGGGCTCTGCGTGAGATCTAGTGGGTGGTGACTGCTGATGTTTAATTATCTAAATGTTCGTTTTTAACCAATATGTTGTCGTACTACGTATTCTTAGGTAACAAGTAAAAGTTGAAGAAAGTTTGATATTTATATCTAATGTCTATATATTTTTGTTGAATATTTGCAGACTAAAATTTTGTTTTCTTCTTTAATCCGATTTCTTTAAATATAAAGTAATTTTATTTATAATATAATAGTCCATGTAGCCGTTACCCATGAGGCGGTCGCACCCCAGGGTACGTACGTCCTACACGTATACCTACGCATTTCTTTAATAAACCACTAAAAGATTAGTGTAAGTTAGTACTATACGTGGTGGAAAATAATTCTTCTTATTATAAGTACTTGATAATGCTTCATTATCCCATCTCGAGATGCCTGAGACTGGTGATTTTTTTTAAGGATTTTTCATTAAAGATAAATTATACTTCGCGCCTCGTTCTCGAGATTAGTATTTATTTGATTAGATTATATTACTAGTAGTATCGCATATGTGTCACTACTCCGGCACTATAGTTGAGATTTCTTTGCATTTGTTTTTTTTTTTTTTTTTATTACGAGGGTAGTTCTCATCTTCTTAGTCGATACCGTTCCCTGCCATCTTCATTCGCTTTATAGTGCCCGACTGCTCCGGTCGTATTCCCAATAACGTGTATAACAGATCGTTAAAATGCCGAAACGTACGAAAGTTAGAACATGTGAAGAAGAGTTAAAACATCCTCAAAAGAAAATGCGTAAATTAGAACAAAAAATATGTGATAAGGAAAGTTCAGTTAGTGACATGTGCCCGAATTTATTGGTACGGAATGCAATCAGAAAAGTCATTGGGGCTTATTCAACGCATTCAATAAATCAGTTAGCGTTCAATCCATTGGGGATCTACCTAACTTTGACAAGATAACTATCGTTATCTAAAAGTGCTATTGTACATATCGTACCTATCAGACTATAACGTATTTACGTTAAAACAAAAAGTATGCACCTGAACTGCCGTTGGGGTTGATTCGTCGCATACTTTTATGGATGACTATGATCATCATAGTCATAATATGAATGAAAATCTCAAACGATTTTCTTATCTTTCTGCCACCCCACCTATGGTGCCGAGTGATTGGTTATTAGAACAACCTCATTATGACGATGATCCACAATCCATGATTGGTATCAGTGACATTCAAAACTTATACTATACACTGAGGATGACTGTGTCGACGCGACGACCTTTAACGAACCACCTGTCGAGTCAAAGTTACGGCCCCAAGAAGGGGTCCATAACGAAAATGATCTGGACACCGATGTCCTTGAAATTCTCGGCGAAGATCCTTCGCACTTAGAGAAGCTCGGTATAACCACATGACTCGCTTGTCGACTAACTCATATTACCATAGAGGGGCTTAATAAGGATATCCGTAAGGAGCTGATAGCGAAGTACCCAATTGCTGCTAATTGCTCTCTTATTAGTGCTCCAAAACTTAACCCTGAAATCAAGGCTGCCATACTTGAAAATACTCTTAAGAGGGACAAAGGCATAGAGGGTAAACAAACGCAAATGGCCAGTGCTATTGCTTGTCTTGGAGAAATAATTATTACTCATCTTAACTCTAAGGAAAAGGATAAAGAATAACTGCTTTAGCTAATGGACCGCAGTCGTTTACTGTGCGATATTCAACATAGCGATTCAGTTACTAGAAGAAACTTTATAATGTTTTCATTAAAAAAGATCGATTCATTTTTATTCGGCGAAACATTGACTGAAACTCTTATGACAGCAAAATCAATAAACAAGTCTGGAATCGAATTAAAGGCTGACCCTTCTACAAAAAATATAAGTAAACGGCAAAAAATATCTAATCAGAATCAGTTAAACGGGAAAGCTCCCGGGCCGGCGTACAGGCAACCAGGCCCATCGCAGAGGAGTCGCGAGCCTGCATTCCCGCGCAGATTACCTCCCCAAGGTAGTGGCCGCGGCCGCAACCGCTGCCGCCACCACCACCGCCGCCCGCCACCGTCTCAAACACAGGGACGACGTCGCTACTGAATACATTCCCGAAGGATTCACGAATCGATTACCCTGGTGGCAGCAACCTTACCAGGAACGCCTTATCAAGAAGGAGCTTACCAACTTCCTCCTTGGATATAATGTTAGCCTCATTATCCCTAATTCACTCAGTCAATATGACGTATATAAAAAAAAAAAAAAAAAAAAAATGTGGGACCTTTTGCAATAATAATTCCATTGACGTATTTACAGCTTCAGTCCCTACCGTTATTTACTTCCTTACTGTGTTGTTTAACGATGGTGGTCAATTAGGTACATTGAATTCATGCAGATCTGCCATATCTTTTTTATTAGGATCACACATAGGTAAAGATGACAGAGTTCAGAGATTCTTAAGGGTGTGTTTCGTCTTCAACCACCCCTTCCAAAGTATAACTTTACATGGGATACGAATTGCGTTTTAGATCAGATAAGCCAATGGTTCCCAAATGAGGACCTAACGTTAGAGCAATTGACTAAAAAGACATTAACGTTACTGGCATTAACTACAGCACATAGAATGCAAACGTTGTCAAAAATCGAAATCAAAAACATACACATATCTCACAGTCAGGTTGTTATTAAAATACCACAAATTATTAAGACTCAAAACCAGGTCGTGAGAAACCAATACTTTATCTACCATTTTTCAATAGTAGGCCAAATGTGTGTCCAGCAAAAACACTACTATGTTATATTAATGAGACAAACTCCCTTAATAAAATCTGATGCTCTGTTTATAGGTATTAAAAAAGCCGTCAGTGCGATCCGTAATACTGCGGGCTGGAGGGGCAACTCTACCGTGTTCGCACAATTTTACAACAGGCCTATTCATAATCATGGTTGTACATCATTAGCCCAATCAATTATTGACCATTAAATACATAAATCAGTGTATCAAAATTTCGTAATTACTACCTATACTATAATTTAGAATGGAAATAAATGTCAAAAGGAATTGTTCAGTTTGTATGGGCACTTTCACTTTGAGTGGACATTATCTACAGTTATAAAAAACATTATTTTTCAATATTTCATGTCTTAAGGTTAGAAATAAGAAGCAGAGATGGTTAAATAAAAAAATTGTAGATTTACACATATTTACCTGTAATTTGACAATACAATTCTACAAGCAAAAGACAGTACTTCTAAATACACTTATTTATAAGAATAGACTTTACATGATCACTTAATAAATAAGTTACACTGCTCATACAGTTTGTCTTCAGCTGGAGGCTGGCATTCGGGTGGTCAAAAAAGCAGCTACATTTATATAAGTTGGTCACATGATGTCCTTATCGTTAAATCTTCCATGGCCTCTCATGACGTGTGCTTGCAGTCAAACACAACTATTCTCCTAATTTGTGCTCACCCTCGAGAACAACTCTTCGGCTTGGAGTGGCTGTAAACTCACATTTACATCTGCGTCTATTAACAGAAAGAACTATTTTAAAACACCTATCCAGTACATTTGTACATTACTATTAAAAAATAAATTAACATTAAATGTTGAACTACAGGTACAGTATTCCCACGCCTTCGCACATGTAAATAGTAGCCTATATCATCCTGATGAAAGATGTAGCTTCCCTTAAGTAAAAGGATTTTTTTTACATCAGTCTTGTAGTTTCGAAGTTTGTTAACAAGCTCAACTAACAATCAAATGTTTCTAGTTTATGATATAAGTAAGGATAAGAGGCACAAAGCTCACAAACTAGTTTCACTATTTTTACAATAATAAGGCAAAAATAATAAACAATTTTACCTGATACCATGTGGGAATGGTCAGTCGCTGTGGTGAGTCGCAACCAGGAACAAAACAATATACTTGTGAATCAAGTGCTCTTTTATAATCCGGTAATGATCTGTATAGGTTCCAGAATATTATATCTGCTTGCTGCTAACATGGATAACAGACGCGATATGGATCTGCCATACACCTAAAGAGTATTATATAATATTAAATTATTTGTCAACAAAATGTTACTTAAACGATAGGGCAGCGATATATTAATATTTTACTTGTCATACAGGAAGCTTAATTATGGTAAAATAATGAAAATAAATAAATATAACTATAATCCTACCTGTCGTGGGGATATCCAATTAATAATTATATTACTAATGTGTTTCTTTGACGGATATTTGTTGCAGATGTGATCTAGTACGTAATATAGATCTTTCACAATTTATACAAAGCTGCCGACGATGTCCTCTACTTGTGCTTGGTTTGGTGTCCATAGGTATAGCCGGGTCATCATTTCGAGAGGTTAATAAATAAATTGGTCGAAAGTAACAACAAAATCAAAACGTAAGAATTATCATTATCACTCAAATGTCTTTGTTGACAAAAGTGGAATGGTGCTGCCCTATAAGAATTATTAATCAATTAAAAAGTAATCAATAGTTTGTGTAAATTAACTTATATATCTAACCGAAAAGGATTATTTCTTATGTTTTTAATATATATGATACATGATATTGCAAAAGATTACCTAATGTATATGTATTAATATATAAATACTTTAATTACTTTTATTTTTATTAAAGTTAAAACTTATCGATTAATCGATACTATTAGTAATAGTACTTCAATAACATTTATTGATATGGAAACACAGTGAAATATGTTAACAAAACACATCCGAATCCAAAAAATACTTTTTTATGTGATATTTTTAATGTTTAGTTTCCCATGACGAGAGTATTAAAAATAATTTTTCTTTCAGTTTTAATAATAATTTACTGTTTACATATTTTTTACTTATTAGCTTGTCCACCAAAAGCCAAAATTGAACAATTCTCTTTATGTTCTTTTTTTGTTAATAATTAATAAATACTTATATATATAAAAAGCAAGTTATCGTCATTTATTGATGATATTTCCTAAATCTATTTTCAACACTCTCAAAGTCTACTAGTAATATAATCTAATCAAATAAATACTAATCTCGAGAACGAGGCGCGAAGTATAATTAATGATTAAACGAACTTACCAAGTGAAGTTCTATCATAATTATACGAAGCGCCTCGTTCGAAGAGATTAGTAAACCCGCCCAACCCTGTGAACATTATTCCCAATACTAAGTTCTCCGGAAATACATCAATAAACCAGATCTATCTCTAAACTGAATGAAGATGGCAGGGAACGGTATCGACTAAGAAGATGAGAACTACCCTCGTAATAAAAAAAAAAAAAAAAAACAAATGCAAAGAAATCTCAACTATAGTGCCGGAGTAGTGACACATATGCGATACTACTAGTAATATAATCTAATCAAATAAATACTAATCTCTTCGAACGAGGCGCTTCGTATAATTATGATAGAACTTCACTTGGTAAGTTCGTTTAATCATTAATTATTCTTTCTAAACGTTGCATTCACCGAAGTATCTAACGAACCGAAATCAAAATGTAAATGTAAAGTTGAGTGTTTCAACGGAAATGTACAAATTATTTATTTTTCTTTTTTAATGTATGAACGTAGTTTTTCTTTGCACTAAAATCGACGACATGGTTCCTGAGATATTATTATATTCCTAGTTATGTCTTCTCATACTGGCTGTTCTAAATGTTACACCTGAACGAGTATATACATATATATATTTTACACGTCATATCCTTTGAATATTATGCGCACCTCGGTGGAGTAGCATTAGGTGACTCTACGAATGCATAGTATCCTTCAGGGGCGTCTTCTCCATCGCTTTCTGGGGTAGGGTCTTCAGCGTGTGGCGCGGGCGCGGAAGTTGTTGGTGCCGATGTAGACTCCGGTAGCACCGATGACGTCAGCGCTGACAACATGCACTACGGGCAAAATAAAACATGCTTTTATCAGATCACAATAATATTAAAACTTACAAACAAACTACAAACAAACAAACTACAAATATAGATAAGTATAGACTACATTGTTTTACAGCATCTTCCAATTTTTTTGTAGTCAATGGGTATCTACAGCAAAAAGTGACAGAAAGCAAACAAAAAAGTAACAGACAAAACATAAACTTGGAGTTAATTTATAAAAAATGCTAAGTGTTCAAATAAACGAATATCAGTAAAATCGGTCCAATGGTTTAAGTATGAATGTGTAATATACAGTTACTTTCGCAATTGTAGTAATAGGGATTTATCCTCTTACACCCATTTTTACTAACCTAGAACAAGGCATAGCTTAACTAGGAGACGTCTAATCTTGCGAAGCGCCTAAACAGATTAGTTTAATTCCAAATACACATTTTTCTATTTCATCCCTGGCATATTTGTGATTTGTCATACGGAAATGCCTAGCGCAAGGCACCGCATAACCCATGTCATGACTTTTTTTTTTCTTTCAACTTAATTTGGTAATAGGTAGGGAGGGATGGGAGTAATGAGATGATTAGGTGATAATGAATGATGGTGATGGTTGATGATGAATGATATCTGAGTGTGGTACCCCTTTAAGCAAGGAGGGGTACTCTGAAATATGTCCCCCCGGCAAGTGGGGGGTACATATGGACACGTCTGCTATGAGAAAAGGTTTTAGATCCCCTTGTGAGGGGGGATCATGCTATTCCCTGGAAAAGGGCTATTGTTCCCTTGAAGAGGGCAAATGCGTGATGATGTGTAGAGTGTAAGTGTGTGATTGGTGTGTACAGTGAAGTTGATGAGGGGAGGAGGGTGGGACCGGGAAGCGTCTCGTTGAATCCGCGGTGGTCCTCCTCCCATAGTGGTAGAGAGCGTGAGTGGGATAGCTTGTGAAGAGAGAGGAAACGGGGGTCGAAGAATGGTGAAGGAAGAAAGCGAGTATGTTGTGAGGATAGAACCCCCGTTTCCGAAGAGATAGAAATGAATGATGATGAGGATGAATGTGTGTGTGTGTGTGTAAGTGTATGTGTGTGTGTGCGAGCGCTGGGGATGAGGGCCGCCCCGCCGCCTCACGACCGCGCCCAGGATGAGGGGTGTTGAGCGCGATCGCGGGGCGTAGGGGCAGTCCCAGCGCTCAAATGTGTGCCCGGCGCCGGGGACGCAAGCTTGTGCTTTCAGGGCGACCCCCCCGCCCCGCGGTCAGCCTCCATGTTATGACTTAGACATTGCATTCATGTCATTAGGTGATTGTTAGTCATTGGTGACATGCATTTTTATTTTAGACGATTCCTAAATATTTAGGCGACAGAGTTAAGCGATTCCCAAGTTTAGTGAAAACGAGCATTAGCTTCACAATGCTTGTTTGGCCTCTTATATTACGATAATACAAGCTGACAAGCTTTTATATTCATTTATCTTTTGAATTTTGCTCGTGTCCACTGAACAAAAGCTCTCGTTAGCTTTTAATCATGTATGTCAATCAGTCGATTTGGTGGTTAGCATTTGATCGACGTGTTGTCCCGCCCTCTGGCGGCTTTTTAGGTCTCATCACAAATACCTATTGTTGGACTACGAAACGAGAGTAGGCCACCATTGCGGCATTGCACAAAATTTGAAAACTAGTGCAGGCTAGTACATGGCACTTAGTACTATTACTTAAATATTTTATTCTATCAACTGAAATTAATTACGAGTGTTTTTGGGACATCATTTATTGTTATAGTTCTCATATTTACAACTTAACAACTTATTCTTTTGATCTTAACATCTGGCTTAAAAAAAGTACCTAACATGCATCATTAAACTAAACAACAATAATTTCTGTTGAACTTTCTTCAAACTTCAAATTGGATTATAATTGCTAGGTTAACTATCACCACAGCTTTCAATCCACTATCTGCACGTGCCTGGCGTACGTGAAACCCCAAATTGCTGGTGTGTCATTTGTCTCGCTGTTTTGACAATTGGCACGACTTATATGATTATAGTGTGTCACAGAAAGTGGTACGCCGCTATTATGATAGATTAAATCTTTAATTTTTGGACACCGTCAAATGACAGTGTTGTTTCTTAAACTTGCCAGCTAGAAGATTTATATAGTTTAATTAGGCGTGATAGTAAATAAGACGGAACAAACATTTTCATTTATAAGGGCTAGAAATAAAATTGTATTAGACCATTACTAAACGAACAATCGTTTATTAATGGCCTGATACAATTTCTGTTAACAGCAGTACTGTGACAGGTTCGATGCTTAGGTAAATGAATAAAAGGCTACTAAGCTTAAGAACTTGATTTAATAAATGGTAATAAAAAGACCTTTTCTTCGGATTCGATTAGTAACTTTATTATATTTGATTTAATACAAACTTGTGAGCATAACGGAAACAGGTAATAATAAATAAATTTTAACTCTTTTAACAATAAATTTATATTGATTTAAATTAAATATGTATAATGTTTCTAACTCGACGAATTTTCACAAACTGATTCACACAAGCATATTGGATTACTCAAAGTTCAAATTACAAAAAGTGAATGATGTTGAAGATCAAAAACAAAAAGTTTGAAACGTAGGACCAAGTAAACGGTGGCACGACGCACCGTTGTAGAATGATTTTTTTCAAATCTTTAGAAGGTTTACTAAAATAAAATCTTTTTCAAGAATAACAAAAGTCTTATTATATTGAACCTGTAATGTTGCAACAGCGCTGTGTTCAATGCTGTATTTTTACAGCATACATAAGCAGATGGAAAGGTAAGTAGTAGGTGGTATTTATTATAACACTAAATCTGTGCACGTATTATATATACTCTATGTGGATACCTCAGTTAGATATATTATTGCAACCAGTGGTTTGCGACGACCCAAATACAATCATGCACGGTACATGGGTTTAAACCACTGGCACGGAGAAGCACATCCTCTACGTCATTCTAATGCCTATCACATTAGGTTGAAAATTGCGTAGACTGCAAATCATGAAATTGTTGTAGTGAAATTAAGTTGTGATGCGTCTTGCTTTTGAAGTTGTTGTTTCGTAAATGCTCAGGGCAATTTAGTTATTGGGGACACTTGGGGATGTGGTGAAACTGCTAGTATGTTGAATGAAATACTTGGAATGACACGGTAATTTAGACGACTATACTGATTTCATAATATTTTCATGCTCCATATTATGGGGAAGACGAAAAATAAATATCATCCACATTTTACATTTTTTTTTGAAATTTTACTTTATCGATTTGACGGCGTTAATTAACGTGTATATTCATGTCAATTACAACTTTCTAGTATCAATAGTTTTGAGCAAAACCGCGGACGGACGGACGGACAGACGGACATGGCGAAACTATAAGGATTCCTTGTTTACTACGGAACTCTAAAAACGTATAATACAATATTAGAGTAGCAATGAACAATTAGATGGCATTACTTAGTGAGCAAAGTAGAATATATTCATAAAGTTTATAAACAACTTTTAAAGTACAGAACATCGCTTTACAATTCTTAATACAAAATGCTTAAAAATTCCGCTTGGTCCCTGGCCACCCTGAGATGGGCATTGTGAATGCAAAATTAATAAAAATATAATAATCGCTTTACTAACCTAAAGTTGAACTGAACTAAATCAGGTAAAATCTATTTTCTGATTTTAAAGGTAATATTTCTTTACCATGATATTATTTTTATCTGTGGTTGACACTGACTGCATGGCATGGCACGCGACTGGCCACCATATCGAAAGATAACTGTTAAAAATCAACGGGTCGTCACTGACAACTGTGATACAAGTCGCACCATTTTATATTGTTCATTTTAAAGTGTGTCTTCGTTACACATCGAGTATCTTTTAAAGGCACACTTTGTGCACGTGTGCATTGAATAGTGTTTTCTTCAAAACTTACGGAATAAGAGCATTTGGGTTGTTAAAGCTCGAAGTGCAAGTGTGAAATTATTCTTACTTTAAATAAAATGGTTCTAAGATTTTGTGTGGAATATGAAAAAGCGCAACGCTTCTTAATTAGTCTAATATCTTAGACTTATTTTCTAATCTATTAGACTAATTAACAAGCATATATTATAATTGGCGTCAGAGTGGAGCCATAGGTTGAGCTACAGCCATGATTAAATACAGCGCACTAGTACCGCTATTTGAGAAAGTTCTGTTTAGTCTGCAAAATGAATTCCTTTAATCAACTAATACCGGATGTTATTTAGTATAGATAATAGAACTTAAATTAATTAGAAGTAGGTGTTATTGTTTGTCTTTTAAGTATTAAAGATTTGATTTCTTTGCTTTGAAAAGGCTCTGAAACTGGACTAATTAAGTTACATCACACACAGGTAGGTTTGCCTTTTATTACTAAAAAAAGTCACGTTGAAAATCAGAAATGCTTAACTTATAAAAACTCTAGCTTTTGGACCTAAGTCTCTAGCCAAAACAGTGCAGAGTTAGGCTTTTTCATTTTGAAAGATGGCAACCCTATATGCAGTCGCAGGTAAACAGACAGTATAGTAATAAGAAGATATAAATCTCTACTTTTACCCCCGACGAAAAAAGAGCGGTGTTATAAGTATGCCGTGTCTGTCTGTGGTACCTAAAGTAATGAACTAAATTGAGTGAGGTTTTTTAATTCGAAATTCTTAAGAAGTCTTAGTTTTAGAAATTAAGGAGTATATAAATAATATTTACAATAAAACTTGAAAATAAATAACATATAGGTCCAATAACATATATTATGTACTCGATAGTTATCTAGCACATTTATCACATCGTACCTATGCAAGTAAGTGCCAAAAAACAAAACATTTAAGTATTGACTGGTTATCGTGCATTTTGATTACGATGATCTGACAGAAACCATAAAGATCTCGTGCACCTGTGACGTCACAGTGTCCCGTTGCGACCTTCACCCAGGCTGACAGTGGGCAGTGTGCCGGTCGACGGCCCGACCGGCCGCATTCCACATAAA